GTTGCCGAAGAATAGTTACATTAAATAACATTTATGTAAATTTATAAAACCACATAAAACTGTTCGAATGTACAAAAAGACTAACAGTATAGACAGGAGAAGGATACAAATCAACCAAGAACAGCAGATCTGAAGAGGGCGGGGATGGGATCAGAGTCTAATGCGCATAAGACTGTAACAGACCTGAAACAGATACAGAAAATATTTAGCATCTATTAATTATTGATAGCGAGTGCATGGGTATTTGCTCTTCTAATTATAGTATATTTTAAATATTTCCTAATTTAAAATGATTAAAAATAAAGATTAGAGAGAAATATGTAGCTGCACAAGTCGTTTTTTTTCTAGTCTTTTTTTTTTCCAACTAGTAGACTTATAGGTAATTAATTCACTCTCTCCCTTAGGTGTGTCGGTATTTTGTAAGTTTAAAAATACAAAACCAGCAAATGCAACCTTTAGACTCTGACACCGCTAATAAATCCATAGAGCTCGTGTGATAAGAATAATCCCATGTGACTGTCAGGATCACATCCATGGTGCTATGTGTGACTCAGCCTCCCAAGGGCAGCAAGGCAAGAGGGGGGCCTGGACATCTGAGCAGAGAACAGAAATGGACAGAGGGGACGGGGTGGGGGTGTGCGGGGGCTGCCCTCATGTACTGGAAGAAGCTTTACGTAGATGAAGGAGGAAATATGTTTCATGTTGTTTCAGAGTTCAGAGATAGGGCTGTTTGTTTGGGTGGATAGTCCCGAAATTTGGATTAAAATTGGTCCTCAAATCAAGAGCTTTCTAACACGTGGAGCTGTCTATTGCTAGTGGAGCTCAAGCAGACTGCAGGAGTATGTGCCTGGGATGCTAAAAACTGTGATAGACCCTCTCCCTTTCCCAGTTCAATCTTTAGTGGAACGCCAGCATCCATAGCAGTCTGGTGTCATGGTAAAGACCAAGGCCTGGAGCCAGGCAGCCTGGTTGGCACGGGGCCTGCCACTAGCTGACCTAAGCCTGTTCTCGCCCTGCCGGCCTTGTCACTTAAATGTCACAGGAACACAGTGGCCCTTGGGAGCAGTGTGAGGCTTAAGTAAGAGGCAAAGGTGCCTGTTCCTTAGTGAGTGCTAAGTAAGTGTTAAGTGTTAGCCTTAGGACCAAAAAGTGATGGCACTGTTCCCAGGCCCAGGTGACCAGGTAACTGGGCTCTGGGCAGTGATACTCGAAAATGGCTGACTGGATTACTTTATAAATCCTGCAGTTCTTGGAAGGATTCCTTTCGGTGATATTATTAATATGTTTCTTGGGAACTTGAACACAATTTGTTAACTTGAAATGATACAGAAAATATGGATTTTATTTTTACACTTCCCCAAATTGTTTTCAGGAATTCTAAAAGCAGATGTTTAGCAGCAAAAATAAAAAATGATTTTGGGGAATGGGAGAGGACTTTGAGGAAAAATAAAAGTTGAAATCACAGGATTTAAAGTTTGTAAGTAATAATTATACCAATGTCTCACCACTATGCTGTGCACCTGAAACTAATATAATACTAATATAATATGAACTGCAATTGAAAAATAAAAATAAAAATAGAAAGAAAAAATGGAAGTAAAATAGTTGTTATTTTAAACTATTTTAAAGTATTTTTAATCAATTGAAAAATAAAAAAAAGTAGAAAGAAAAAATGGAAGTAATGTTACTAATAATTGTTATTTTAAACTATTTTTAAGTTTGGTGGGTTTTTTTTAAAGATTTTTTTTATTGGGGAATTGGGGGAAGGGGAACAGACAAGTTGCTGTCCTTTTGTTCTTCAGTCTAGTTGTGGAGGACTTCGCTTCACTGGACCATGTTGGTATTATCATTGCGCTCTCCCGGGTGAGGCAGATCGGTCACCAGTCTCTGGACAGTCACGGCAGCTCTTGGCAGCTCACATCAGCTGCCAGCCGCTCACGCTGGCTGCCAGCTGCACACGGTAGCTTACGGCAGCCTACTGCAGCCTACGCCGTCGCCGTCACCAGTGACTCATGGCAGCCCAGCTCCAGGTCGAGCTGTTGTTCACCATTTTAGCTGTAGAGGGTAGTGTCACTGGCCCTCATATGTAGAATCCGAACCGGGGCCCTGCTGCTCAGAGCCAACGTCCCAAGCCAGCTCTTAACCAACGCACCACTCGGCCAGCCCAATTTTTAAGTATTTTTAATTAATGATAATTATTTATCAACAGAGACATATCCATGAGTTAATTCTTATTATATATGATATAAAAATGAAAACGCATGCTTCAGGAGTTGAGCTTTGCTCTTTCCCTATTTTGAGGTTTTACAGTAGTTCCTTTGTTATTCTTCAGATTCAGTTTTTAGCCATCCTGGGGTGGTGTCTGCTTTTCTTTTTATGTGGTTTTTGCACAGTGCTCCTTGAAATACAGCATTTAGGCAATCCCATAAGCCTTTGATTTACAATGAACGAATATAGAATACTGTTTTTGCTCAAAGGTGTCTGACTGCGTCTTTTTTGATGGAGTCAAGCACAGCGTACGTGCTTTATCTCCCTTCGTTACTCACCGATTGCTTAAGGTAGGAGGCGTTGGGCTCAGAATTAATGGTCGGGAACTTGGCCCTTGCTCTGTGTTACTCAGTAAACTGTAGCCTCCATAGATGCTGGTTCCTCCCTAAATTCCTGGCTTCTTATCTCCATGTGTCTGTCTTTGTGCGTTGGGTGTACAAAGTGTCTTTGAACCACTATATGAACTCATGTCACCGTTAATGATTAACATCTGCCAGGAGCCTGGGTTGGCCGTTACGAGAATGGCCTGTGCCAAGCAATTAAACAAATATTACTGCTTAGTAATCTCAGCAACCAAAAGAATTTTGTGTGTGTGTGTGTGCTTTATAATTTCAAAGTAGTCAAAGGGGTTCTAATACCCCACACATTTTTTCTTTTGAATGTTTTAAAATTCATTCAGAAGGAAGACTGCTTTGGCTGCTTTCTCTTTGATCTTATTTTTTTCTCCTATGAAGTCTTAAAAGCAAGTGTTGGTTTGTTTGTTTGTTTTTATTCATGAAATCGTTGCAAGGAGATTCACATTTTAGCCTGGGACCTGGAATTAAAAATGGTTTCTTTTTCAATTACTGTAGCAGTAACACACAAAAAGCCTGATTGAATTTGCTGTCCTTATCTCTTCCTCATGCCATTTTATTTCACAATAGCTAATTGGATTGATACCAACACCACTGAAAAGTAATATCTTAACAAAAGGGCTGACAGTAATGCATTAGAAATTGGAAGTTGATGGGAAATTATCCTCTGTCCCCAAATACACTACAGTAAAATCTCCAATTTGGACAAACTGGTTGGAGAAAGCCACCAGTTAAATAATGGATTCCAGAATTTCTTTTTTTTAAAATATGTAACATTTTCTTTTTTCTTTTCAAGCAATGTATAGTAATTTATATCTGGCACAATGTAATGAAGAAGTACCTGTCTGCTCTGTAAGTAAGAAGCAGCTGGTACACATTAGCAGAAGTGATTTGAATATCAGCTGGTCTTAAGTAAATTATTTCTCCTGCAGTTTTTATTTATGAAGTTTGGTTATAAAAATAAATTTAAAGAATGTTTCAAAGGTGAATTTCAGTTCAGTTTGGTAGAATTACCCTAAGTTCAGAAGTAGTTTGATCTGAATAAATATTTATATTTTTTTGGTTTTAGAGCTCCCTAGTCTTTTCTTGATAGTATCGTATTTATTTGTGGAAGGGTGGTCTTCTGTGTTTATTTTCCTTTATGATAACTATACCGACAGCCGCCAGTTATTCTTAGAGCCCATCTGTAAAAGTGCAGTTGGCATTTTTGTCCCAGGTTCAGCTCTGGTTTCTTCCACGAGCCTCCATCTTAGTTTCTTCACACATCACCTGTTTGAGGGGAGCCTATGAGAGGTGTGGCCTGATTGTATAAAGTATGACGTTTGCACAGCACTCACAGCTCACAGCCAAAGCTCCACCTGAGAAGGCGGAGTTTCTAAAATGCGTTTGGTGTTAGGCTACCTGAGACTAAGTTTGTCTGGAGCAGTGTCATTTCTGTATGAGGGCTCCATTTAGGAGCCGGGAACTAAGAGAGGAAGCAGTTCAGGACTGACAGGAATATTTATGTCTCTGGTAAAGAACAAAACACTGTGCAGAAATGAAATAAGAATAGGGCTGTGATTTAAAAACCTCGTAGAGTTCTCAGTTTTATTGAATAATTTTTTTTCCTAATAGGAATAAAAGTGTTCTTCAGTTCATAGATTTTCTATTTTTCAGAAATTTAATAATTCTAAAACAAAACAGAGAGGAATTTAGACTTGAATCAGAAAGTATCGTGACGGGGGACTTTTTAAAGTTAATTCATGTTATCTATCGGTAAACAAAGTGAACCTTTCCACCCATGTAGGGGATCCTGAGAAGCTTTTTGTAACAATATATTTTCCGTCGACTTACAATTTTAGAGGCGTCTCATTTTCATTTCTGATGTGCCTTCAGGTGACTCCTAACACATTAGCTTTGTTCTTCCCCTTAATCTCACCACCAAGATGTTTTGATCTGTAAGAAAACTCTTAAATACCCTAAGAAGTCCCTAAGTAAAGAAACCTGAACTGCAGTCTTTTGTAACTAGAATAATTATCCCCTAATTAGCCTAGCTTCAATGTGCGGCTTTATTCCAAAACGGATCATTTGCATCTCACTTGGTTGGTATGTATTAATGTACACTTTACCTGTCAGGTGATGATAAAGGCAAGAGAAAACGAGAGAGACATGCTAAAATCGAGGTGAAACTTTTCTGACGCCTCTTTTAGGGTCATAAAACCAAAAGAGTGGGGTGAGGCGTGCGCAGAGCTTGGGTTTCAGCCCACGCTGGTGATGTGCCCAGAGCAGCTGTGACTGCCTGGATGTGGACAGCGCTGTGCTGTGAGGCCCGGGTGACCGAGGGGTGGGACTGAAGGGGGAGTCCTGCGTGCTGGTGACGCTGCTGGCCCTCTGTCCCAGGAGCTCAGGTCCCGGGAGGAGGAGCTGACAAGGGCCGCCCTGCAGCAGAAGTCCCAGGAAGCCCTGCTCCGGCGGCGGGAGCAGCAGCTGGCCGAGCGCGAGATCGACGTGCTGGAGCGGGAGCTCAACATCCTGATATTCCAGCTCAACCAGGAGAAGCCCAATGTCAAGAGGAGGAAGGGGAAGTTCAAGAGGAGCCGTTTAAAGCTCAGAGATGGGCACCGAATCAGCTTACCCTCAGGTATGACTCTCCGTGTTGCTCAAGGTTCTTGTCTGTCGTGCGTGCATAATCAGCTTCTTTGTGTCGTCAGAGGTGGGGAGAGATGGGGGGTGAGATGCTCAAACGTTAAACCAGTGAGTATCTTAGAGTTGCTTCAATTCCTGGTCTTGATGTCCTGACCTCATGCGTTTCCACATAGGAAGCTGCGTAAGGCGCACGTTGCAGTGCATGGCACGCTGAGTACGGAACTAGCAGCGCACTTTCTTAGCGTGTTCATGGAGTCACTGCGTTTGAAATCAAAGCAGAATTCCTTTTGAGCTGATTATTGCAATTTCACCATTAAGTTTATTGCTTCCACAAGGACCTATAATGTCACCTGGTAACTGAGTTAATTTGGAACACTGATGATGTTGTTAGCACCTTCAACAAAATATAGAGGGTACCAAAAAAATGTACACACATTTTAAGAAAAGAAAACTATTAAAGTTGTAATACTCAATATATACTGATAACAGAAGATGAATACAAGTCACGTTTGACTTCTGCAATCACAAGAGGTGCTCAAAAAAAAAGAGTGGTTACCATCAGCGTCCAGACGCTTCTGATTACGGCGAATTACTGCTTGAGCAACATTGACCAAAGTGCCCACTCATATACATTTTTGTAGCACCTCATATATCAGTACTTCAGTTCCTTTCATCTGTGGGTTGAAAATCTTTTAGGTATAAAAATGAACCAGTAAATCTAGGGAAGCTTCAAAAAAAAATATTTTTTGTTTTTTAGCTGAGCCATCCTGCCACCTGTTGGCAGCTCAGCACCAGCTCAGTTCAGGCCAAGACTTGAACCATCGACCCTGTTGCTCAGAGCTCGCACTCGTGAGCAAGCTCTCAACCAACTGAGCCACTCGGTTTATATTTTAAAAATAAAAATATTTTTAAATATTTTTTAAAATATTGTGATGATAACATAAAAGGATTACGTGTGTTAGGAGAAACTATGCAGAATGGAAAATAACAAACATATTAATTCATCAAGTCATGTTCTATACTATGTTTTATACTTGATTTAAGGGAAAACCAAATGTCCCCTGTATTTTGTAATTCTTTTTCATACTGGGGAAGAATGGTGACAGAACAACAGCTGGCTACACTTTTATAAACTGTGCATTAAATATCTGTGTATCTGTATCTGCCTGTATTCTATATATGTATTACATATTGGAGTACTGTGGGATTCTAGTGTTTTCCTACGATGTTTACTAATGGCATGGAAATTTGATTTACAGAACAATAACAACAGCTTTATTTTATATGAAGTATGAATAAATTGTCCTGTAAAAATATTTATTACAAATACTGGACGCCTTGCAGTTTACTATGACTTTCTAGATTCATGCAGGAGTCCTCAAAAAATCAGAAAAGTGCTGGTAGGGGGAAGTCATGCATACACTGTATACCTTATTGATTATTTGGTTTGATGAGGTGAGAATAGGCTATGGGTTCATATTTATCTTAGTTCGACCTCTGGGAAAAAGAAAAAGGTACTTTCCCAGGCTCTCTTCTGATGTTTGCTTTTAGCCAAAGTGTAACTTGGAAGACTATTGGCTGGACTGTCTTATAGGCCAGACATAATTTTAAGTAGTCTATTTTATATATGATGAGGCTTCTCCTTTCAGGTGTAGGCGATAGAAAAATTTAGAGGGGTATTAGATGTGAGCTTTCTTCTCCAGTTCTTAGCTGTCAGCTTTCTTTTGTCTGTGTTAATACTATGTTATCGTCAGTATTATTTATTGATTTACTTGGGAAACTTTGGGGGTGTGGCTAATGAGAAACTGATGGAAAATAAACTTGGGAGAAAACATTAAATCACTCCAATGGTTCTTAATCTTCAGTCGTAGAGTGATTAAATAAAATATCTCAGGATCCCTGAGGTCAAACTTTCAATTGTTTTTCTTCTCCAATGTTGCTTGGCTAATACCTTGCATTTATTCAAAGCAGACTGAATATATTTTACTATTTTTGCTAGATTTATATCATTCTGGATTGTACTATTTGGCTTTTCTCTTTCTGAGAATAAAGGGGACATTGTAGCTACACATTTATGTTGTGGCACTTAATAAAAGATTATAGTTAAAATATAACCAAAAGATATATAGTGCTTCCACAGTGTATGACAATCACACAATTATAAAGCACTTTATAAAGCACTTCATCTAAAATAGACTGTTTCAGATCTATGGGTAAGAATATTTCTTTCCTTTACCACCTCCCTACCCCCACACCAGTCAGGCATCTCATCCTGCGGAACTGTTTTCTTGCTGCCGTTCTTTACTTAAGCGGCTCTGCCTGGCCACACTTTCCTAATTCCTTACTTGATAGATGGCAGCATCCCCCCATCTGGCACTTCATTGCCATTTGTTTTGTCTTCTGACCACCTCCCACCCTGCCATGTATTTCTCAGCAATTAATTTTAAGCACCAATTTGAACCTATTGCAGAACCTTGCACAATTTTCTGGTTCAGCAAACACCTGAGGATCTACCATGAACCAAGTAACTAGGGATTGTAATACAATAAACCTGATTTCTGCCCTCATGTTACTAATAATCAGAGACGACATTCGTTCAGCAAAGGTGTCCTAAGCCCTTCGATGTGCGAGATGCTGTGCCGGGTCGGACTAGGATGGGATATAGCTGAGGTGAAGGCTGTAATGGCCTCGCCCATACAGAGCTGAGATTGTATTCATATTAGGGGAAGGGCGAAACTTACGCTAATAATTAAACAGATACTTATTTTCGTGCCATAATTATTAACTACTGTGAGGGAAAAGTCACATGACAGTGATTAGCAGAGAAATGTCACCTGGCCTAAGGGGATCTTGGAAGGCTTCTAAAGAAGTAACATTAAAATTCAGACTTAAAGTAGGAATTTACCAGATACGGGGAGTGGGGTGGGCAGGAAGAGAACAGGCCGAGAGCACATGCAAGGAAGCCTTGATTTCTTCCAGGAATCGAGAAAAGCCAGTGTGATCTGACTAGGGGTCAGCACACTACATCCCGTGGGCCACATCTAGCCTGCTTTGTATAGCCCACGAGCTAATAATGGTTTATACACTTTTAAATGCTTGAAAAGAGTAAGAATAATGTTTCCTGACACATGAACATTATATGAAATTTAAATTGCAATGCCCAAAATTGTATTGGAACGCACTCATGTGCTGTGATGACTGCTTTCTTACTACATTGGCAGACTTGAGCCGCTGTGACAGAGACCATATGGCCCACAAAGTTATGATGTGACCCTTTACAGAAAGGGTGCTACCCCAGGGTGACCAGGGTGAGCCAGAGCGACTCAGACTCGCTGGGCTTTATAGAGTATGTTATGATTTTGATCTCTAACTTAAGAATCATGACAAGCTTCTAAAGGACATGAAGTAGGGGAGTGACATGGTCAGGTATGTATTTTTAAAACTACACCTGGCTGCTGTGAGGCAGACCAGAGGGCCAAATGCAGATGCAGGAAGATGGATGGATCAAGGACCTGTAGCAGCCTCGGCCTGAAATGATGGTGGCAGTGGAGATGAAGGAAACAGAAACAATCAGACACATATTGAGCATTTATTAGGTCCTGCATCCTGTGCTAAGTATTCCTTATACTTTGTGTTTAAGTTATCATAGCTATCCTATAAAGTATGAGTAATTTTATGTACACTCTTGTAAATGAAGATACTGAGACTTAAAGAGGATAATTTGCTTTCCCCAAATTCACATGGCTAGTAAACTGGGGTTTAAATCCAAGTTTGCTAACTCCAGAACCTCGAATATAAACTTCTCAACTATAACTATGAGACTATATACCACAGAATTTACAAGATGCTTTGTGTTTGATTGGCTATTGAGGGCCTGGGAGATGGTATCAAGAAAACTTTTCATATTTCCCACATGAATAACTGATGTCTTCCCTACGAAATTCCAACTCCTCCTCATTTCAAATACCAGGTGGTTCATTAAAGTTCTTTAAAGTATCATTTTCAAAAAGGTAAGTTTTAGCTCTCTTGCAAATATGAAATGAACGTGTATCAAAGATTTTATTTGACACATTAGTTAATGAGTGAACCAGTTAAAATTGGTTCAGATGAGAGTTTGAGGTGCTAAGAATTTATGGGCTATTTAACTAAAGAATAATAGGATTAGATTGTTAGGTTAAATACCAACCTGGTGAATGTCCAATATGGCAATAAACCATAACCTTTGGGATTGTCTTTTTTGCCAGACAGAAATTATTTGCATCATCACCAGACAAAATCTGTAAGTTAACCTTTGCCCCTACTAAGTTGTAAAATAGCTCCATCAATAGGAAATCAATCAAAGGTTAAGCTCAGCACTGCACAAAAAGAACACCCAGTAATTCCTTACACCTGTGTCTGAGTTTATTTCGATTTTTTTGACAGTTGATGGAAGTTTTCTCAGCTACTCTCCTCTCCCCTCTGGTAATATTACTCTTTCTTTCATATATTCCTGTAGTCCTTAGTGCATCTCTGTCATAACAACTACCCTATCTTACAGTTAGATGATAGTAACTATCATTTGTAGAGTGCCTTGACCACAAAGTGCTTTTAACTGTAGGAGAGGAAAAGTTCTCCTTGATCCTCTTAGGGTCCCTGGAAGGGTCTGAAAATTAAACAAACAAAGGGAAAAGCTCAAAAATGTACTTAATGTAAGTTTTACATGACACTGGAGCCTTGGTAAGGAAATGAAAACCCAAAGAAACAGTGAGACATGGATTTTTATGCCAGGTTTGATGAAGAGTGGGCAGCCATGTAGACATATGACGTATCCTACACCCCATCATAACCTACATTTTCTGTTTTAATCACCACAGCAGCCCTGAGTATTGCTGTCCCCCTATAACACTTGAGGGGACAGGATCATGGAGGTGCCTTACAGGTTTGAGGTCCATAGTGTGTTAGTGACAGACCAGGACTCATCTAAATCCAGGCTTCTATTTCGATTTTGTTTTTAACAATGGCAGACTGAATGATGGTAATTCCTTCTTCCTAGAAAATTGTAAGATCTGAAGTACTCAATGATATTCCTCTCTCTCTCTCTCTCTCTCTCTCTCTCTCTCTCTCTCTCTCTCTCTCTCTCT